ATTGTCAATGATCACCTTCAAGTAATCTTTGGTTACTACCTGATTTGCTGAAGCTATTGCTAGGGCTGATCTGATGTCCATTTGGAGAAGGGACATCTGTTTTTGTAGACCAACTGTGACATTTGCTATTTGCTCCTTGACTTTGTTGAATTCATTGAATTGCAGTTGACTGTCAGAGGTGTATATTTCCATCGTATTGCTCACAGTTTTACTCAATAGAGAGATGATCTCTAGAGTCTTTTCTACTGATTTACTTATCTCCTTGAGATCAGCGCTGTGTTTCTCTTCAGATTTCTCTATCAGCTGAGTGTGTTTGGCTTCCATTAGCTCTATCTCTTGCCTAAAGGAGGCATGTTGAGATGCTAGGGCTGATTCAATCAGCCCTTGGACCTTCTTTGTCCAGATTTCCGGTATCTCATCCGGAAGGGTAGGGGTTGAAGAGCTATGGAAATGAAAATTGGTTACCTGATGAGGAGATGATGTCCTTTGGAAGAGTTGCAAAGGAAGAGATTCAGCATCTTCTTGTACATCTTCTTCATCAGTGACCTTTAGTGTCCTCTCAGATTCTCCTTCAGCTTCATCAAGTGCAAAATTTGATATGTATCTGGAGAGGGAGTCACTATCTTCAGCTTCATTTGGTTCTTCAAAGATGGCTATTGGAGTTTGAGAGACCTCCACTTCTGCCATCTGAGTTTCCTTCTCAGCTTTTCCAGAGTGCCTTTGGACTTCTACTGCTTTCTCCATGGTTTCTGGAATAGCTGATTGTTCCGGAATTTCTGCTGACTTTTCCAGAATCTCAAGTTGTGTCTGATTGGAGATCTCACAAGGAGTAGTGAGGATCTCGAGCACTTGAGATTGGATCAGTCGCTGAAATTCTTCTTCTTCAGTTGCTTCTTGGTTCTGCTCTTGTGGGGGAGAGGCTGCCTTCTCTTGAACAGTTTCAGTCAAAACCATTTCAAACGCAGGTGAGGTTTCCGGAAAGATAGGGAAATCCTCATCTGTTGCTTCCAAAACAGCTATTTCTTCAGAGGTGAGAGCCATTTGTTCTTCTGTGGCTCTAGTGAAGACTGGCTTGAAGACAGCAGTGTCTTCATCATCTGCTTCACAGTCTGAAACTGGTGTGTTGGCCAGGTATTCCATATGCAGGTCTTCTGGGTTCTTTTGCCATACCCAGTAATCGTTCAAAATATCTTCACAGTTGTGGTTGACTGGAATACCTAAGCACTTCTTGATAATCTTCTCATTTTTCAACTGTTGGTCCCAATCCAACAGTTGCTCTTCTGAATTTCCAACTTTCCAAGCTCTCCAATTATAGTAGAGCTGCCAGAATTTGTTGTCAGCATCATCTGTATGAGGCTGAGATGAGGGGGTTGGATGGCTTGGGACTTGAGGAGTTTCTTTTTCAAACTGTTGAGGGCTCCGGTTTTGAACAGAGGTTTCCTCAGTAGTTTCCTTCTCCTTCAACTCATCCGGATTGACATTTCCAGATGTTGATGGAGAGTTGATCTTTCTCTTTTTCTTCCTTTGAAGTTCTCCATGGTCAGAGACTTCTTCTTCTTCTTCCAAACATGCCAAAGCAAGGTTCTGTGGTGCTTCAATACTAATGGAAGGAGACACCACTTGCTTTCTTTTGGCAGTCTTTGCCATATGGATGAGCAGGACATTGTCTGAAGAGCTTTCTTCTGCAATGGCACTAGCACTGGCTCTTTTTTCTCCTTTTGAAGACAGATAGTATAACCAGTATCTTTCTCCATACTTCTTTCCTTTAGAAGCAATACCCATAGACTCCAAAATATGTCCAAGGTATAGTCCTTGACAGAGATATTTCTGGTTGGGCTTTCCCAAATGCTTTGAGATGGAATTGAAAAAGTGTGCAGCCCAGTTAACCTTAGTTTTGGTAATGAGAGCGTTGATGATGAAGGCTCTCTCCTGGGTGATGTCATCGGCATGACCTCCACTTCCACACTCGAGGCAGGCGATGACCAGTTCCAAAATCAGCTTGTAATCATTGTTGAGATCTGCTTTCTTTGCTGGGCCAGAAGGAATTTGCCCAGAGATTCCAATGATATTCCAGTCCAGATTTTTGACTGGAAGTTTTCCAACTTCAACTCCAGAATTGGGAAGGCGAAGCTTTTCTCCCAATTTCTTCTGCGAAAGCTTCACCTTTGTACCCCCCTACAGTGGACTTGATAACTGGAAACGTCCTCTGTGGGTCCTTCTTTGAATGAGCAGTCTTGACTTCTCCATTCCTGTAGAATTCAAGAACTTCTTCCTCGAATTTGAGGCGAATCTCCATTTGAAGAAATTCGGAGAGTTCTTGAGCGCCTATCATCTCCATATAGCTTTGGAAGAATGTCGATGAAG